CCTGTACGTGGGCTCTGTAGCCACGCCACCCCAGAAGAAAGGAAGGATGGACCCAATTACATTTGGGCCTGCAGATTTGCCCAACTCACCAAGTCCGCACCGGGACGAGTTGGTGATAAGCATGTGTATAGATAATGCTTTGATCCGGCGAGTGCTAGTAGATACAGGGAGCAGCGTGAACGTATTGTACTTACAAACGTTCGAAAAAATGGGCCTGCAAAGAAATGAGCTGACCCACCTGAGGATACCACTGGCAAGCTTCACCGGAAATTGCATCGAAGCAGAAGGGACCATCCAGTTGATGTTTGAAATTGGAGATGAAACACACAAGACATCGGTCCGAATGACGTTCGTGGTGGTAGATATCAAATGTTCCCACAACGCCATCTTGGGCCGACCGGGATTGGAAGATCTGGAGGTGATAGCCTCTGTCCGCCACTCATGCATCAAATTCCCCACGAACACTGGGGTTCGGGTGGCCAGAACTGATCCAGCAACAGACCGAACATGCTATCGGGAGGCCTTGAAAAATATGAACACCCAGGGAATGCGGGTAAACAACATCGACATAGAAACACGTCGAACGGAGTTCGAGGCACATCCTGAGCCTGCCACCCTCCTCGAGCAAATTGACCTGGATTCTCCCCCGAACCGGAAGGTGGCCATCGGGGTGAATCTGGAGGCTGAAATTCGGGAAGGTATAATTGCAGTACTGAAGAAGTTTCAGGTATTGTTTGCCCGAGGGCCAGAAGACATGTCGGGCATTGACCCGGACATAATTTGCTACAAGCTGGCCGTTCGACCTGATGCAAAGCCTGTTCAGCAAAAGAAAAGATAACAGACGACCGAACGACGTGATTTTACAAAACAGGAAGTGGCCACCTTGCTGAGAATAAAACACATTCGTCCAGTGATCCATGTTGAATGGTTATCCAATGTGGTGCTTGCGCCAAAATAGTCAACTTGGATGATGTGTGTGGATTATTCTGATTTGAATAAAGCCTTTCCGATGGACCCATACTCGGTGCCGAGGATCGATCTGTTAGTGGATGAGACGACGGGATGTGAGTTGTTGAGCTTCATGGATGCATTCCGGGGGTATCGTCAAATTTTCATGCACCCGGACGACGCAGAAAAAACAGTGTTTGTAACTTCGGACGGGGTATTTTGCTATATTGTTATGCCGTTTGGGTTAAAGAACGCAATGGCTAATTTCCAAAGGATGATTGGAATGCTCTTCAAAGAAATATTGGGAGTCACAATGGATTCTTATGTTGATGACATCCTGATCAAGAGCCGGAAGAGGGAGAATCACATCCTAGACATAGAAAAAGTGTTCGGGATAATGCAGAAAGCAAACATGAGGTAGAACCCCAAAAAATGTGCCTTTGATGTTACGGGGGGGGGGGGGGGGGGGGGGCAAATTTTTGGGATACTTGATGAGTGACAGGGGTATTGAGCCTAATCCTAAGAAGGTAAAGGATATCATGGATATGGAGGCTCCAAGGAACCTGAAGGAGGTTCAGAGATTGACCGGTCGGTTTGCAGCCCTGAGCAGATTCTTATCCAAATTGGCCGATCGAGCAATTCCAATTTTCCAAATCATGAAAAAGAAAACCCTTTTGAATGGACTGCCGAAAGCCAAACGACCTTCGAGGAGTTCAAATTGTATTTATCTTCTCCCCTGGTCTTAACAAAAGCCGATCCAGGGGAACACCTATATATGTATCTGGCCGTGTCTGATCTAGTTGTGAGTTCAGTATTGCTAAAAGAAGAAGATGGCATCCAACGGCCCATTTATTTTGTGAGTAAAGCCCTGAACGGTCCAGAGACTAGGTATATCCTGATGGAGAAAACGGTGTTGGCCCTGATAGCAGCCATCAAACGGCTTGCGCCTTATTTTCAGGCACATCCGATAACCGTATATACAACATAACCGCTGACTACCATCCTAAGAAATCTGATGGCTAGCGGGCGCATTACGAAGTGGAGTCTCCTGATCGGGCAGTATGAGGTGGTCTTTAGACCTCACCCCACTATCAAAGGCCAGACACTGGCTGGTTTTATAGCGGAATGTACCGCTCGGCCTTCGGAAATTGAAACAGAAGGTAGCATGGTAGGTGAATGGTGGGAGATGTACGTAGATGGTGCATCAAGTGTAAAGGGTTGTTGGGGTGGAGCCGTGATCACGTCACCTGAAGGGTTTAAAGCGTACTACTCCATCCATTTTGACTTCAAAGTAACCAACAATGAGGCCGAATATGAAGCTCTCATTGCAGGGTTAAAGTATGCAAAAGCCCTGGGTGCCGATCGGCTCAAGGTCCGGTCAGTTAGCCAGTTAGTGGTCCACCAAGTGAATGGCACGGCCGAAACAAAAGAAGAAAGGATGAAAGCTTACAAGGAACTGGTCAAGGAACAGATCAGAAAATTTGAACAAGTAGTGCTCGATCAGGTTTCAATAATAGAAAATCATGAAGCAGATATCTTATCCAAACCGGAGAATGCAGCTCTTGATGACCGGGCACAGATGATCCCGGCTCACATCCAGTGGTTTGCTCATCGGGAAACCCTGACAATACCGGCAACTATGATCCTCCAAGTAGAAGTGATCTCTTATGCCGTTCTAAGTTGGGTCACGGATATGACCAACTACCTGAAGGACGGGACCCTCCCAGAAGATAAAAAATCAGCATATAATATGAAATGCATTCAGAGGAGGGCTTCCATGTTCGAACTGGTGGACGGACAGCTATACAAAAAGACATTCGGTGGACCATATCTAAAGTGCCTACCACCTGGTCTCACAACGGCGGTCATGGAAGAAATTCATGAAGGAATCTGTTCCAGCCATCAGGGGCCTAAAACGTTGGCAAGGAAGATCATCCTGCAGGGGTACTACTGGCCAACGATCCAACAAGACTGCTTTGCTCATACCAGAAAGTGCAAGGTCTTCCAGTTGTATGCATCGGCCCCCGAACGGCCAGTTACTTTCTACACCCCGATGACAGTTGCCCTTCCGTTTACCAGGTGGGGGATCGACTTGCTAGGGCCCCTACCTACTGCTCCGGAGGACTAAATTACATCATCGTCGGGATAGATTATTTCACCAAATGGGTGGAGGCCGAACCGCTGACAAGTATTACAGATTTCAAATGCCAAAAGTTCGTCTGTCAGAATATCATTTGCCGATTTGGTCTCCCTGAGCAGATCATCACGGATAACGGTAGACAGTTCGTGAGCAGGAACTTCGAAAACTATTTGGTCAAATGGCAGATCAAACATTTCAGAGCGTCTGTAGCATACCCTCAGGAGAATGGCCAGGTAGAAAACATGAACCGTACCATTATGGGTGGTATGAAAAAAAACTAGAGCATTGTTCCTCCTCATGGCCGGACCAATTGAATTATATCTTATGGACATACAGGACAACACCCCCGAACGGCTACGAGAGAGACTCCGTTTGCCCTTGCTTATGGATTCCAGGCTAAAGTTTCAACAGAAATTCTAGTTCCCAAACATCGAACGGTGCATTATGACCCCGAATGCAATGAGGATAATCTGCGGGCCGAACTGCACTTCATAGATGAAAGAAGGGATCTAGTTGCAATAGGAATGGAGGAATATCATAAAGCGACAAGGAGATACTTCGATAAATAAGTAAAAATCCGATCGATCGAAGTAAGAGACTTGATCCTGAAAAAACAGGAAAAGAGCAAACCTCTCGAAGGAGGAAAGATGGCACAAAATTGGGAAGGCCCTTACCAGGTCTGCAAAAAATATGCTTTAGGAACTTTCGGTCTACAATCTTCCGAAGGCCGACTGGCAGGGACTTGGAATGTAGAGCATCTGAGGAAATTTTATCAATAAAAACGGCTGTTGCCACCTCTTGAAAAAAAAGGAGAGGGAGACATAACTTCCAGAGAGTCTCATCTCAGCTTTTAACACGTAGAATCATTCCGGATGACCGAATGACGTACGTGTTAACGGTTTGGAGGGAGCCATCATCTCAGCGAACAGAATTTGACCCTGTGATCACGAACGAATAAAGGGATCATAACGGCTTGGAGGGAATCACCTCAGGCCTCAGCTAACAGATTTTGACCATGTGATCACGAATGGTAAAGGGATCAAAACGGCTTTGGAGATGGTGTCTAAACAGTAAGTATTGTCAAGTTGAGCGACGTTCAGTAACATGGATTGTGGTCCGGGGAGACATTACTTCCAGAGAGTCTCATCTCAGCTTTTAACACGTAGAATTATTCCGGATGACCGAATGACGAACGTGTTAACAGTTTGGAGGGAGCCATCATTTAAGCTAACAGAATTTGACCATGTGATCACGAACGAAGAAAGGGATCAAAACGGCTTGAAGGGAATCACCTCAGCTAACAGATTTTGACCTTGTGATCACGAATGATAAAGGGATCAAAACGTCTTGGAGATGGTGTCAAAACCATAAGTATGGACGAGCTGAGCGACATTCGGTAACATGGATTGTCGTCCGAGGGATCGGAACTATGGTTTCAAAATCTCGCCTCAGTCATTAACTTGATTTGGAAGTGAGTCGCCATTTTAGCTAAAGTAAGAAATGACCCGATCCGGTGATCTTGCTTACAGTTTGAAAGTCGTCACCTCAAACTCCTAATATGGATGATACGAATCAAAGTAAACTATTCGGAATGCATCAGAATTATGGGTTTGGAAATGAGAGAGTCTCAACTCAGCTTTTAACACGTAGAATCATTTCGGAGGGAGCCGTCATTTCAGCTAACAGAATTTGACTCGATCTAAACAGCTGGGAGATGATGTCAAAACTATAAGTGTGGATGAACCGAGTCACGTTCGGTAACCATGAAGATGGAGGAACCAAGAGTTCGGGTTTGAAAGATAAAAAAGAGCATTGAAATGACAAGATTATGTACATAATCGAACTTTATTCTTCGACACTACTGGTCGAAAAGTACAAAGGAAATAAAGAGAACAAAGTAGACTATGCTAATTGATGATCGCCGCTCGGGGAGGAACAAGGTTGGGAGTTGTCTGCCTGTGTTGCATCATCAGAAGCTGCTTTCTGTCTCATCTCCATGATCCGATCATAAGTATTCCCGAACAAGTCATCAAACCCCAACTCATCAGGATCAAATGGTTTGGGGAAGTGTTCCATGATCAAGTCGAAATTCCTATCTAGAAGCAGATCTTGACTTTGCTTCACAATTGTCTCCGTCAGGACATCCAAGAAAGATTTCCCTTCAGGCGTGCTATCTAGAAGCTCGATCCCTGCCTTGATTGGATCCTTGTTCTCACGAAGGAACTGACCAAGGTGAGGTCCCAAGAACTGCTGAGCGGTATTTTCCAAAGCGATATTCAGCCCTTTTCCCCGCTGATATTCTATCACGACTTGTTGGGTGATCTTGGAGGTATTGGCAGTATAAGGCTCGAGAGAATTTCCTCCCTCTGATTTATCAAACCGCATCCCAGCGGATTCAACCGCTTTCACCTTGGCTCTGAGATCCCTAATCTCTCTGTCTCGACGTCTGGCCCTCTCCTCCATCTCAGCCAGATCAACCTTCGCTTTCTCACCCTGATCAACACGAACTTGCAAGTCTGCAACTAGTTTCCGAGCGGCGGAAAGGAGGACCTGAATATCTTCCCGATCACTGGCTATACGCTTCATCTCCTACTCAGCAGCCAGGAAGACCCGATGGTAGTATACTTCGGCCTACAAACAGTAGCATAGAAAATCAGATGACATATACTAAATCGGAAAAGATGGAAGGGTAAAGGGGTTGTTGAGTGATCTGTAACTTGAGAGTCTCCAGATGACCTGCCTCGACCAGGTCAGACCCATGGGTCAGAGTAGAAATGTAACACCCCCAAATTTCCCACTAAAAAATACCTTTAAATAAAACATTATTTATTAACTTTATTTGAAAACATCAGAGTTGTGCAGTGGAAAATCAAAAGGGAAATAGGAGTGTTACCGCCACACTTGGCTCTAATCTAACCGAGTGCACACGCTAATCCTACAAAAACGATTAAACTCAATAAGTGTTGAAAACAAAATTAAACTACAATGTTATCTACTAATTACATTTTCTCAAGCGGAAACTCTCTTTCGAAATCAACTTCAACATGATCAACTCAGCACCTGTACAGAGTCAAGTACAAGAAAAAAAATAAAAGAAACAAAAATTAGCAACAATGATAAGTAAGTTCCACCTAACCCCGAAAAAAATAAATAAATAATATATTCATACAAAACATTTCGAAAAAAAAATATATTTTCAAAATACTTTATAAATCATAAGTAAAATAACATTTATAAAATATTCTCATAGTACAAATAATATGCAATACAATAATGTTTCAAATATAAGTACATATTTCAATAATTCCAAAATATCAATATACATAAAATCACCAAAATCATCTCAAACTTTCCAAAGCATAAATCAAACATCAAATATTCATTTCAAAATTATTATAAACAATATTCAACATAATCAAACCAAGTCAAATCCAAAGTATTTATACTCTAAAAACCCACAAATAATTTAATAACTCAATCCAACTCAAATTCAATCCAAATATAATCCAATCAAATAATCAAACAATTCCAATCAATCCAATAATTTAATTCCACCACAAATCCAATCAAATAATATTCACCTCAAGTCCAAATTAAGACAATCAAATAATCTCAATCACCTCAAACCAATCAAATTTCAGTCAAACCAAGTCCAGTGGAAGCCGAACTCCTACCTTAAGTATGCACACTCCCTAAAAGAGATTCCAAACCCTCCGGGTAGTAAGAAGCCCGAGTGGTTAGGATTTTTCTACCAATTACACTACAATTAAGCTGGAATACTGCACGTTTGGGAAGTACCCCTGGTGGATTTTGACTTATAGCCATTACCACTCACCAAATATTCCACATTTATCCGGATGTGGCAAACCGACACCACGGATTTCTCCGGATGCTCACAAAATCATAATTTAATCTCAATCAAAATGGATATGAAATCCAAACTCCACAAAAAAATCACCGACAATGTAAAATATTAACTTCAATAAACTACACTCGAATTCACCATACAATGAAATTTTACAAAAGAACCAAATACTTCATAAATCTAATCCCAATAACAATTCATTAGATATCTCAAATACTCAAAAATATCATCCAATATCCAATACTCAAATACAATTCTCAATAACAATCCATAAGAAATTCCAAATACTCAAAAGTAAGTACTAGAAATCTCATAAAGTACTCAAATAATTTCAAAAATGATTAACGAGGGAAAATATAATTTTGGTTGACGTGAAACTTACCTCAAATCGCGATAACTCCTAACCGAAACTCCTATCTCGATCTTCTTCAAATTCACCTTCTAAACTATTAAAATTCTAAAATCAACATATAATCAACTTATAGTTATATTACTCTACCCCTTTTGAATTATTATTTTATTAATTGGTCCAATCTATACTAAATTGTCCAGTCCACTCAATAAAGATACAAGTGGTCCGAATATAATAGGGAGTAATACCCAGCCAACATATTAAATTCATTAAGCCAAGATTCAAATATAACCCAGTTAAAGTAATTATTTATTTTTATTATTATATCGGCCCAGCCGTATCACATCCAGCCCAAATGATAAAGTAATCGGCCCAATAATAGTAAAAGTAGACAAGGATGCTGAGTTACGTACGTCATCTCCTTCGTACCGGCGAAAAAAAGAAGAAGACAGAGTCCGGCTCTGAAATCTTCTCCCGATAGCGACAGACGCTCTGGCAAGGCAGCGGAGACACAGCGATGGCGTTTGCGGTTCGGTGGCAGCAACTTCGGCTTCTCTCTTCCTCCGGCAACTTCCTTTTCCTCCGGTTCGTGAGCAGCACTGTTGTCCGGCGGCAACGACTTGGGTTGTCCTCCGGCGCGAACTAGTCTGACGGAGATTCCGGTGTCGTTCATCGGCAGCAGTTCGTTTGGTGACAGCAAATCAAGGCGGCGCTTCCTCTCCAAGGAAATAGCCCGGCGGTGTTCAGAGGAGACGGTTCAGTGACTTCAGTCCGGTGAATTCCTCCCTCCGTCGAACTATTCCGGCCGACTAGCAACTACATACACTCTGGCGACGTTCATTGTCTTTTCCTCTCCCTTACTTCTCTCGCTCTGTTTTCTTTTCTCTATTTCTTTCTTTTACTTTGTTGCAGGTCGCCGGTTTAACCCTTTCTCTTGTGTGCGGTATACGATGAATATATATATATATATATATATATATATATATATATGCTTGGCCGATGTTTCTAGACGCATGGAGAAAATTCTGGACTGTCCGTTTTATTAGCTTCGGCCGTTTAGTTTCCATAATTGTTACTACTCCGTATTACTACCTCCTTAACCCAAAGATCTTCCAATTTTGACTTTTCACGATCTTCTAAGTTGAACTTTGACTCTAAATATCTACATATCTATATTGATAAAATTCATAATAAATTAACATTCAAATAATATGTTTTACAATAAGGTATATGAAATAAATTTTTAATCATAACATAATGTGAGTTTTGAATAATTAATGGTCAAAGTTTATAAAATTTGACCCAAAAGAGTCAAACTGAGAAGATTCTAGGATTACGGAGGTAGTAATATCTTATTATTGCTACGCATGACTGCATGTATGTGTATGTATTATATCTGATATATGCATGTTTGTTATATGTATGTTATGCATACGAATACCTATTAAATACTACCTCCGTATAGTATTACTTTACTCACCAAGTATCTTGGCTTTTAATGTTTTTACTTTGATAAACTATATAATAATATTTGGTTTACTTTTATCACATACATTATATCTGATTTTAATATTCACTTTATTTATTCTGTTCTTATAAGATAGATTATACGAAATATCTGTTTTTTGTCAGATTATATGAGATAACTAATTTGGGTTTATTTTATTTTATTTTAAATTTTTAGGGTATCACAAGAAAAATTGGGTGGAACCTTCAGGGAGGTACTGCACCACATAAAAGATGGGATCTGCCCGAACAGGTACCTTCCGTCTGCTCGGGGCCCCAAATTGGAAAACTCCACGAACATCCGATCATCGACCGGTATGTTGTTAAGAACTAAAGTCTGGGGCTGAACAGGAATGACAGGTTTTTTCAGCTTGTCATCCGGACCGGTCAGATCAACCACGTGATCGACCGGGATCAGTGTGTTGCCATCATTCCCTCTACGTTTCTTCCGGGTTTGTTCAACAGATGCATGGTCGGCAACTATCTTTTCCTTGCCTTTTCCAGAGGAGGCAGTCGGAGTAGCGGCAGATATGGAATGTCGAACGGGAATAGGGGATATCACACCTACAAAAGAGGAAGTAAGAGATAACAAACTGAATTGAAAGAAGATCGATCGGGTTAGAAATAAATGAACTTACCGATCCCAGCAGCCAACATCTTGGAGGGGTTAATAAAACCCCGAAGGCTCCGAGATCCTCCCAGACGCAATGATTCAGCTTGAGAACGAAGAACGGCACCCAATCCGGGCTCAGAATCCCGAACAGGATAAGCGTTCCACCGATCAGGGAATGGGAGTGAATCACCTATACGAACGAAGAGGAACCGTTCCTCCCAATCAGCCGATGGAGTAGGGTTATCCGTGAACAACTGACGGTCATCTCGAGCCACCAACTTGAGATACCCAGTAGTCCAATAGGGTTGATAGCAGTAATGGTACAGGAATATATCGACACTTGGTGCGATCCTCAGTTCTTGGCATGGAAGTATGAAGCCAGATAGAATGCGGTAGGTGCTGGGTATGAACTGAGCGGGAAGTACGGAGACCCGGCGCAAAAACTCCACAACGAACGGATGAAGAGAGAAGTGAAGCCCAGCAATCAAGGCATCAAGATGCACAAGCACGTGCCCCGGTCGGTGCCTCAAGGGATGCCTGATGAATCCAGCATAAAATTCCCTAGACGGAGGCAAAAGTTGGCGAAGTTGCCGTTTGGCGTCCTCAGGAAGACGTTGCCTTTGTTTGCGAATGCGGGTAAAATGCAGAGGGGTGCGAGGTGGCCGTTCGGGCATTCCCTTTTTATATATCTTAACATCGTCTCGTGACAGACATTCGTCATCTACAGGCTGTTCGGCATCTTTGGATACGAGAGAATTAGTGGAAACTCGTGTTTGGGAGGATGAGTCCCCGGCCTTGTTTACAGCAGGAGTTTTTCCACTACGAATTAGCGGCATTTCTTCAGATTCTGAACTAGAAGAGAAGAACATAAAAAGGGCCTGAGAATTCTAGAGAGAGAAAGCTTAGAAAGACACAAGAGGAAATTGAGGAAGCAACAGAAAAAATGAAAAAGAAGCACCTCTATTTATAAGTAAAGATGTCGCTCAAAACCCTAACCCATGAAGAACACGTGGCAAAATATGGTTGCACGAAATTATGGCACATTTATGATAATTTAGCACGTTCCCCGAACGATTAATAAGTAATTCATGATGAACGGGTTAGTAGTTTTGGGGAAGCCATCTTAAAGACACCGAACGATGAACGTATTGAGGGATATCCCGGACCAAGATCGATATAAGCCACATGTACTTGAATAAGTATCTTTAGATAGCCCGAACGGGTAGTATTTGAAGAACAAAAAATAAAGATCAGCGGAATGGGGAAAGTACAGGATCCGGGCAATATTCAGAAGATGGAACATCAGAAACAAGAATTCAAAGAACAAGTAAGTCCTACCAAGCTTTCTGAATCCTGAACGGCAATCCAAAGGACAGGAACAAAAATCCTGGCAAATCATCAAAAGCCCGAACGGCGATACAATGAATGATCAAAAAATGAGGTCAGAAAAAACTGCTAAGTCCTATAAAACGGACCGATTCCCGAATGGTAAGTAAAATCAATAAAGACAGGAAAGACGATAAATAAAGCATTGAGAAAAAAGGATTTTATATATATTCATCGGCTCTACTGGCCGGGAAGTACAATGATCATGTCCAAAAAAGAAAAAGGGGGAAAGGAATTACAATTACTAAAAATTCGAATCTAATATACTCGTCGGAGGCCTCTTTGTTCCTTTCCTCTTCATCATTATCTTCATCCTCATCTGAGTCAGAAGGAGGTTCAGGATCCCTCCCTGCTTCTCGATCGGCGGCCCGTTGCAGTTCTCGCTGGTACTTCTCGAACTGGGCCTCGACGATAGGGACCGAGGGAAGATCGGCAAGCTCGACCGGCCTCCCTAGCATTTCTTGAAGCTTGGCCACAAAGGGGGCCAAGATATGCTGGAAGCCCATAACATAGAGAGATTGGGCCAGGGGGTCATTGAATTTTTTACCCCTTGGATCCCGATCGAGCAGTTTCACCCCTTCTGTACGCCGAGCATCACCCTTGGGGAATTGATCAAGGTAGGCTCCAAAAACTGCCGGGAGTTGTTGTCGAGCGTATTCCTCCTTGATGATAGTAAACTCATCAGAGGAATTAAACAGATCCCGGACGGCGGACAGATCCACGTCAATTTCAGAAAGACTGTCCGAGATGCGGGGAGCCGTTTCTGCAAATTTAACCTGAACGGTTTGAGCCGCAGAAACTTTAGCTTGGGCAGTGGCCATTTGAACTCGAAGCCCCCCACCTCATTTTCCAACTTTTGCCTTTCCTCGGAAAATGCTTTCCGCTCACCCTCCAACGTTGCAAAAGCAGCAGCAACATTCTGTTCGGCGGAGGTCTGAGCAATGATCAACTCCCGCTCTTTGGCTAGCTGAGCCTCCCTCAGTTGCAAGCTGTATAGCCCAACCTACAGAATTTCGTTCGAGAAGTGAGATAATGTAGAACAAAGTAACATATGGAACAGAGTTATTAAAAAAGTACCTTCATGACCGCTAAGGCCAAACATTCCTCCGACTGCTCGACCGGTAACTTAGGAACATCAAAGTTGTTGAACCATGAGGAAGTGGACCAGACTTGGCTCGCAGGGGAACCAACTTTCTCTAACATTTCGTGAACGGGATCTACCAGAGAGATCCATTCAACCTGGCCAGATAGATGAGCAGCATGGGTTTCACCCACATCTATACTAGCATCCTGAACTGCCTGAAAATGTTCAGAAAATTGGTGTAGCTGATCAAACCCAAACCGGTCGTCAATCAGCATATCTTCAACCTGCTCCTGAGGGGGAACCTGTTGAATGGGTTGTGGCTCCTGAACAGGTTGAGAAGAGCCTGCTTCTTGAGAACTGGCGGTGGAAGGGTTGGCCTTGGGGTTTTTCCTGGACTTCTTCCTTTTCCCCACGCCACCGGCTGCTAGCACACGGCTGTTGTCCATTGGAACGTCTGGATTGGGGGATGAAAAATAACAAAGGAAAATATTAGTACCGAGCAGTCTTATCACGTGGGAAACAAAGAAAATTGGAACATTTCTCGCACGGGATGTACCGCCCGGCCCATGGTACTTGGTTCTTAAACAAGTAGACCCAAGAGAGCGGGCAGTACCTATCCCGGCCTTGATTAGTATCCTATGATATCACAAGATTTGTCCTTGTCTATTGCGAAGACATCCTTGCAGATTTGCTCGGTAAGAAGCGGATCGGGAGTTTTGCGAGGAAATGCATTCCACTTGTTCGGAATCAGGCCGTCCGTGACGGAGACAAAAAAGAACCGGTCCTTCCACCCTTTGATCGAGGTAGGATTACCCTTAAATAAAATATGACCCGTTCGGGCAGTTGCCGCAAGGTAATCATGTGTCTGCTGGGGAGCCACCTTGAAAAATTGATGGAACAGCTCTAGGGTAGGAGTAAATGTTGGTCCCGGTTGTACTGGGTACAGTCTAGAGGGGGGGTGAATAGACTGTACTAGTTTTTAACTTTTTCAAGCTAAGTACCAGATTTAACAGAATAGCATGTTCTGTTGACAGAACAGACTGACAGCGGATGGTCTTCTGGTAGGAGTTCTGTCCGGTTAACCTCTAAGAGGTGCAAAGGCAGTAGGCCTTCTGTTAACTCACAGGAGGGGTTCTGCTGAACACAGAGACTCGAATTCTGGAGTTAATCAGTTAAAGATAAATGCAAGAATTAAAAGTAGTAAGTAAATGACACCAGAGATTTTTATAGTGGTTCAAGGAACAACTCGTTCCTCTAATCCACTGTTCCACTAAGCTTGTAAAAAATCCAATTACACAGCCTTAGTCCTAGCACTTAAGAAGCTCTCCACGTCTTCTTCAAGTCTAGATGTCTCCTGAGATGCACTTCCTTGCTTCCTTTAAAACTGGTCCTTTCACTGAGCTTCCTGGAAGTATCACCACTTCACTACTCCGGTTACTTGGACGTCCTTCTCGTTGGAGAAGAGTTCTTGAGAGAACATGGGTTTTCCAACTAGCTTCATTACTAAAGATTTGTTGTTGAAGTGATTGAAGTGTTGAAGAACAGTTGGAACTTTGCTCTTGTTGGGATATGAAAATAGAGAAAATATTATCTTCCCAACGCACGCCTTCTTGTTGATGATGATGAAGTTTTTATTTCAAGATGGCTTGTGCGTTTGAATTTTTGAATAATTTGATCGAGCACGAGTTTTTCTAAGTTTTTGAAAAGTTGTGTTTTTTGTTGTTTTTCAAGTAGTATCTTTTATACTTGGGTTGTCTTCCCGTTGGAGGAGGAGGACAACTGCATTAAATGAGCGAAAAGTTGACTTGACAAGTAGGACCCGGTAAAGTTGACAGGTTACTATTTTGGGATAAAGATATCCTGAAATATCCTGGAATGTCGGCCAATCATCAGCTTTTACTCTTTAGGGTACGGGGTGCATTAAATGTGCATTTAATGCGCGTACTGTAGCTTTTCCGTTGAAGTCTTCTAGCCGTTGAAGGAATCTTCAGATGGTTTCACCGGCTTGGGTACTTTCATGAAAATTCTCTAAGTGTTAGGCCTTCTGGTGTCTTCAGTAGTGGATCAACCATAGAGGGTCTCGAGCACTTCTGTTGGACTAGCTATCAGAGGGTCCTTAGGTCTTCTGTCAAGAGGCAAGTCAACAGAGGGTCATGACAGTTTCTGCTCTTAGTGAAATCTAACAGAGAGCCAGGAGATCTTCTGTCTCGATATGAGCCAGCAGAGACCCAAAGGTCTTCTGTCATACTAAGCCTATTAGAGTGTGTTCTGTCAGGAGGTCTTTTGTCAGTCGACTATACTAAAACATATACAAAGAAAATTCTAATACAATTTTCAAAGGGGGGTACTCTAAAGTCCTATAGCATCATCAAAATCTAATTACAATTATTCCTTACAATTTCCCCCTTTTGGATGATGCCAAAACCCTTTAACTATTTCTAGAGAAGTGCCTTTCACCATAAAGGAATAAAGTTAAAAACTTTTCATTTAAAATCTTGGTGGGCAACTTAGCATAGGAAAATAGTAAGAGTACGGTACATTCAGATAGCAGATAAAAACAAGAAAAACAGAATTGAAAAGCAATCATACATATCAGATAAGAACAGAAGGAGTTGAATTGCCATACAAAAATGAAAGGCAGAGATGTTCTTTTATTAAGGGATAGAGTAGAAATAGTCCATTACAAATTATCCCTTGTTGCTGCAACCATTGCGTGATCGTCCAATTCTTGCAATCTCTTTAGCTCTGCATTGACAGCTTCTCGAATTCCTACAAGATTGCCAGTGCTCTGATGTGAGGCCCAGATAGGTGAGAGCTTGCAATCTAGATAACTAAGGACACCTTCATGAATGTCCTTTCCCGGAAGAATTTTGTTGAGATACCAAAATTCAGTTTCTTCCAAGGAACCACCATGTCTGACCTTTACAAGACTATCTCTGTCAAGATATAGGTTCTGCTGCTGAGTAGGAGTCATCAAATTGGGATTTATCAATCCTTTGAGATCCACCCAATCTCCATTCTCTGAAACTCAGGGCCTTCTTCTTCTTAGAGGCCTTCTTAGGTGGAGAAGGATGTCTAGGAATGCCAACTGGCCTTTTCTTCTGAAAGGTAGCTTCATAATAAGGAGTGGGATCAATAGGTGAAGCTCTGGTAGGGCGAGGCTTAAGATGTTGAGGGTCCTCTTCCCCCTTTTTGGCTTCATCTAGATCACCAATCATGAGAGAGAGTTTCTGGAATTCTGACGCTTGAGTAGAGGCAATCTGTTCAAGGGCTTCTGGTAGAGTCTGTGTAACAGATGTGAGTCCTTCTATCATCCCTTGTTGTTTCTGAATAGCAGAGAGGGTATCTTTGTTGCTGGCTTCCAAAAGGACCATCTTCTGATATCTTTCTCTGTCAGCAGCGACTAGTTTTTTGCCTTGGTCAGAGTGTTCTCTGCAAAGAGTGTTCTCTGTCAGCAACGAGTAGTTTTTTGCCTTGGTCAGAGTGTTCTCTACAAATTCCAAACGAATAATTAAATTTGGTTCTTTAACCAAATAGGAATCAAAGAAATACATAGTATAAAAATATGCTCCATTGAATACGCTTTTAATGTTTAAATTTGATTACCAGAAAGATGGCATCCAGTTGTGAGGTACATCAAATAAATAATAATATAAAATTATACCGAGTCCAATTATTTTCTAACTAAAATAAAAGCATCTCAAAAAACAAATATACACAAAAACCACTTTTAGGCTAATCGACTTGTGGTGTGATTTTTGACAAAAAATATAAACACTCATAAATTTCTGCCATTTTGGGATCTTAGGTAAAGATTTGATATCTTATATTTTGGGTGATTCCAGTGATTGAAAAAAGCACCAATAAATTATGCTCTTACACTTCTCAAAAAACATCAATTACTTTAAATTCCTGAAATATGACTAAAAATGTTTGAGAATTCTAAAATAGGATTGTCATGTTTGAAAATTCTAAAATATGATTGTCATGTTTTATCTAAAATAAGGAAAATGTAGCAAACTTTTAAATAAATGCAATAGGGAAAGTAGCAAACTTTAAAATATGGATGGAGTACTACATACTTAATTATCACATTAATGATGTATTTTTTATTTGTCATTCACCACATCCAATTACAAAGTTGGACCCATTGGCGACCCGGAGAAGTGACCGGGTCAAGGGTCAATCCTGACCTAGAAAGTCAGTCCGATTAACGGTCAAAAACCTGGTCAATATTTTTCTAACAAATAAAATCTAGATTATGTATGTACCAAGTATTATTTTTTTATTGTCAAATTAAGGGAAAACTTTTCATTATTTATAATATTAATAATCATAAGTATTTGGATATGTGGCTATGTAGTACGAATGATATGAATAAGAAAATATGTATAATGTGATTGTTTTTTGATAATAATCAACGAGAGTTGTTGTTTAAATATATTGGAACATGAAGGGATAATAGCAACTAAAAAACAAGTACAACTAATTGATTTAAGTAGCGCATTGAATTTTAGGGCAGGAAGGTTAATTTGGGCACAACATAGAATCATAGATCAAATCCCACACCAGATGAAATTTTTGAAAAAATCAAAATTACAAGGTTTGTCGGTTTCTGGCGGGTTCCAGAAAGGGATTGCGGCCGGGTTTCGTGCAGGTTTTCATGATTTGCGAGTTTGGTCCTAACTGACCCAGTATGCCAAGTGGGTCGATCCTCTCGGGCCGGTTTGGGTCTGATAACATAACTTTTATTTCTTTTTTGCTAGATGTATACTTACAATTCGTATTATTACATTACAACAATTGAGTTCTTACGTAGGAAATGATTAAATTTCATGTTTAATTGGTATTACTCATAAATTTACTTTTTATATGAGAAATATATTTTCCGCATCGCACGGGTAAAATACTAATTTAGTAATGAAATGGAGAAGGTCCGTTTAATTGGCCAAAAACGTAATGAACACACCAACATATCCAATACGCCTTAATATGTTGGCGTGTTCACTAAATATACTCTTTAATCCGTGGACCAAATGTCATCAAGGGAGTGTGTGTATTTGCAAGACAAACTAGTGCAGGAGGGGAGAAGTAATTTTAAAAATAAAAATTAAAAGGAAAGAGAAAAATAAAGCCTCCTCTATGTAAAGAAAACACATTTTTCTCACCCCTTTCAATAACACACACCCTTGTGAAAGATCTCAAGCTAAGGATGTTTTTACTTGGACTGTAATTCCTCCCAGACCAGACCAGACTTAGATAGTTATAAAAATACAAAGAAACCAGATCAGACAAGATCAGACCAGCAAATTACGATCCAAGTAAAAACATCCTAAGCCTCATGCTTGACCCCTTCAATTTCCAACTCATATTTCAAAAGTTCATATGCATATATGCATTGCAGAGTAGATTTTGCAATAAAAAGTGCACCAGTTGAAGTAGAATTCCAATTCACCTCCCCATTCGAAAAACGCTTCTACGGCTACATAGTTATTTAGTTAAATCATGTAAAATTGTGTCACTTAAACAATTAAATATGTACATTGTTTGATTCAATTTATAAACTTATTATTACAAATTATATTCAATTTATATAAGTAGACATTGCTTATTTGAATATAATAAATTTAGCATCTTAACATCTTAAATAAATAAAAAATCATACTAACTCATAAATATCTAGCATTTGGAAATTAAAAACTACTAAAGATATTGCCATAAATATTTAATAATTAATATGAAGTAGTAAAAAACAAAACGCATAATTCAGTTTATTTTTCTTGCAGCTCATTTTTTTCAATTTGGTTTTCAGTGATTCACCCCTACTTATTTTTCTTGCAGTTCATTCTATTTGGTTCAGTTCAGTTTTAAAGGTAAAAACCAAAGCCAAAATCGAACAACTAAAGGTCTAAAGTTCAATTCAGGTTCATTTAAATGCAGTTCAGTTCATTTTTCCCAAGACTTGTTTTTGTTCGATTTGGTTTTCAGTTTTTTCAGTGATCCACCCCTAGTTTTTTACCAAAACAAAAGCATTACACAACTTACGGCGGAGTAGTCTGAGTAGTTATTATTGCATGAAACCGAAGGAAGGTTTGTAATATTATCTCATTCTACAATGAATCACGAGAACAGAACACAATAGAGCAGTAAAGAACTTGCGGGGAGGGTGACTACTCACTACACATAGCTTTTAAGATATCCCAATTCGAGAGTAAATACAAATGTAATGAAGTCAAGAAATAGCAAAAAGCAGGTCGCACTTGTGTCTCTGAACAGTATTTACAAGATTAACCAAACACAGGCTAACCTTCTTACAGCAAGTGAAACTGTATTTACCAAGCTCCCATGGCTCACCTCACAAGTGGTATGAGTAGGTACTCAGCATAGAAGAGCTGCGCAAAGATGAAAGGAAACAAGTCAGCATTACATCAATAAAATTAGTTATCATGAAACTAAGTATCTTCTTCATGGAGTAGTTGAAAAGTAAAAGTTGTGGTTCAGGTTTGAGTATAATAGTGAAATGATATGAATCACATATATCTTGCCAAAAATGGAATCAAAACATTCATTTTGGGACAACCCTAAATAAGCATTAAACAAGACAATTATTCAAGATATTCTTTTCCTTAATGGAAATTTCTGAACAATTAGGTATCAGGCTCGCTTGTTAAACGGAACCCACAAGGAGGATTGAAAATGTCAATGCATTCCTCAAGAGTTTGCAAAATAATTCCAGTTCAAAGGAGTCGGGATTCGTCCATACATTCAAGCATCTCGAGACAGCTCTTGGGAGCACATTGAAAGTTGTTTTGGTTTATCAAGAACCTAACAGTACACTAACCCTATGGCGTATCATAGTGGGGAATCATCCAGCATTTATGGTCGAAGGCAATTTGACCACAGGAGAGTAATTTTCACATCAAAGTTACCTAAGTTGGAGTTTCCAGCATATGCTGGAAATGACCCAAAAGTGCAAAAATCAGTGTTGTCAATCTAGGATGGATAAGGGTAGCGGTCAACCTTCAAAACACTAGTGACATAGCTGATAGAGAGATGTGCACTGTTTAAATTTTTTTATTAAGTTGAAATAATGTAGTCTATAAGATCTCGCAAACAATGCGTCTTCGACCCTTGGAAAAAGAGTTATGTATAGTGAACTTGCCATTAATGTGCACATGCCACGTTTGCAAAGGCCGAAGAGGCCGCAAGCAATTAATAAATAGCAGTACTATTACTCATATCTATAAATCTGATCTTGTACTTTCTATTGCTTAAATTCTGATCTTTTTTGTCAATTCCATTTTCTCAATTTTAACATTTGGAGAGTGAAAAAGAACTTTTGTTTTATAATTATAGACATTGAAGGTGTAAAGGTTGAGTGGACTATTCTTGTGTAAATCCTCACTGTAATTCTCACTAAAAGTGGTCCATTAGGGGGTACCTTTAGGGTATTCTTTAGGATTTTGGGAGTAAAGCAACATCCTCTTTATGTTGCATACTTGCATCCAAAAGTTGGGAATGGTAGAATTTTCAATCTACCCCATATGCTATACCTTCCACGATGCCCACAACACCAATCCTACAGGGAGCACTTCAACTTCCAAGTGCTGCTATGCAAAGCTATGTCGCTATAGTGTGCTATTGACAGCACTGGCAGAAGTTGAGCAGTTTCATTACCATCAATGAAGATCAAAAGCTGCCGTTGGCGCCTTACCATCTCGAGGAGATGGGGAAGTCTTGTCATGGACCTTAATACGGAGGAGTGTGCTGGATTAGGTCCAATGGATTGTGTAGATAATAAAAACGCCTCATGACCTAGCATGATTATCAGGAGTTCAAAAGTTAATGAAGCAAGGTACATGGATGGTCACACATTCACACAAGGCTCTCAATGGGCACTGGGACATATATAGATGTTCTGAAGGCTCAAATAGCAGATGGTGTATTCTAAGGTTCCAAGCGATAACCTTGAAAAAGGCATTCAGGGTGGAAAGGAGAGTAAATGTTAGGGTTGAAATAATATATAACATCCAATTTTTGAAACAATGTGATGTACATGGTCCACATTGATTGCAGATCTAGGCCAGAGACAAATCCTTTTTAATGGAAAGACTACTATGTCATTTGGCAAAGAAGTTGAGGACCGATTCTTATTTGTAATTTCCTGTAAATATGGAAGAGTCATATATTGGAAAATTATGAAGAATAAATAACTTAGAACACTTTGAATTGAACTAGATAATAGATTGGATTCATTCTTATAGTATGGTTTATCTCAAGTGTCTTATGGCCCGGCCGAGTGACGCAAAACCTAACTTCAAAAAATGTCATGGTATAAACTATAAAGCAGGTTTTGGCAGACTATGCTTCTCCAGTTGTTTGTCTTGAAGTACATCCTAAATTAGGGGTGGTTCGGTTCAGGTTCTGAACTGATAGGGTTTCTAAATCGGGTATCCAAATAGTCATAACCGAAACTGAATCATTCTAAATCGGGTTCCAATTTTTCGGTAATCGATATTTCGGGTCAATTTATCAAAAACCGAAAATAATAACCGAATTTCAATAAAGAAACAAAATCATTGAACTATTTTTCAACACCCAAGCCTTGCCTTCACAAGGGTTAGCCCAAATTGATTTTGCCTAACACACTCTTGGAGCATGTCAGGTCTTTTACACGGTTAGAAGCTTGTGAATACCATCCGATTTATATAGCTGATTTTGGGGAGGAAGGTTTCTCGTTTTTCCGGTGTGGGAATAAAGGTTTGAGGAAAGAAAATTGAAAACTGGAGCTTTGACAAAAAAAACGCTCCAGGGAATCGAACACGGGACGTCCGCTATTTCAATTCGCTTGGAAACCGTCTTTCTGAAGAACCATGTATGTTCATGGTGGTCCGAAATGTGTATTATATAAAACATATACATTAGACAAAGGTCATTTACTATAATATTTATTATTAATCATTCTAAATGTAAAAATGTCGGTTCGGTTCGGTTCAAACCGATATTTTGGAACCATAAACCGATTTTAAACCGTTTTTTTTTTTCGGGTCCCAATTTTTGGGTCCCAAATTCTATCGCTTCGGTTCGGTTTTTTCTGAAGCTTTTCGTTTTTTTTGGTTCAAAATGCCAGCCCTATCCTAAATAGCCCCACTGTTTGTCTGTTAGACTATGGCTAATTCTACAGTAATTCTGAGCTCACCCAAAGGTAAAAATGGCGACAAAGATCAAAAGTAGAAGTTTATTGTTTAATGGAAAGAGAAGAATACAGTTCCCAGGTCGTAACAAAGTTCCGACTCCCAGTCCCAAGTCCCAAGCCCAAGATAATTCCAACCTCCTTTCTATTCTACCATCCACCTCTATTTATACTAACTATTCTAATATTATTATTACTCTTATTATTATTAGTGCTATTCTGCCGGAGTCCTATCATATCTCCCCCCTTGAACATCCACCTTGTCCTCAAGGTGAGTGATAGGACACGGCCTTGATCTTGAACTTCATCTTCATCCTGGAGCCTCTTCCTTCCCAGTACCTCCCGGATTTCTGAACCATAAGTTTCTGTAGTTCCACCTTCCACCTCATAAACGTTTCTGCAGCCGAAGAGAATTCTAGTGCAATTTTAGTCTCTTCAGTGGCTATCAAGCACTCAATAACGGCAAATGTTTCTTTGTTCTGTGTTTCTCCCTTTGCAGCAGTCATATGTTTTGTTATTGCTGCAGCCAGTCCTTCCAGCAGATTCCACCTGAGTGATTTGTCATTGTAGATGATAATTTCTCTCAATAGTCTCCTCACATCAGGACTTGGTTCTGCCAAAAGCCTTCCAATCACACATGTATATGCACTCTCCACCACTTTGAATTCAGGATCCCCTTCTTTTGTAGTTCCTTCTAGTAATCCTAAAGCTCGTATCACCACATCACCAAAGGATTGTACCACAGTTCTTTCAGGAATGAAACCGAGAGAGAGGGATTCATTTGCCGAACTCGTTGAAATTGTAGCCTCAGAATCTCCAGCTGCCACCCTTTTCAAATAAACTTGAAGCATGAGAGCTTTCAACTCATTATCTTCTGGCCATTTTAACTTCTGAAATAAGCTAACTTCCTTCCTAACTGTCAACAACTCCTTCCCTGTTCCGAAGTGTTCACTCATGGGCGGCACATATCCAGCTCCATACTCAATAGGTGGATGGTTAGAACTTCCCAACTTAAAAAGTACAGAAAACACATTAGAAATTTCAAAATGAGCTGTGACTTTCTCTCCTACTAGCATTGTCCATGAGACATTCGGAATACATGCTCCAAACACTTCACACATGATTATCAGAAACTCAACGAGTTGAAAATCCTTGCCATCAAGAGAAAGTAACTGGACACAGTCTACTAGTGGGATGCCAACTAGCAGGATATTCAGCATTGATGCATAACAGCTCGACTGATTCTCTTTTCCAGAGTACTCTGTAGAAACTGGTGGAAACCACAGTGTAGTAATGCAGTAGGAAGTGTGTTCCTTTTTAACAACGTTCAGTCTTCCATCTGCTTTCCCAATAGCTAAGAGCTGTTGAATCCCGCCAAGATGATTCCAGTACGTAACATCACCACCAAAGTATTGATTATAATTCACACTAGGACAACCATGGACCTCTAATTCGTATTCTGTGACATGATAGTGGTGCAGTACCTTTTCAGCATCCCTATTGTTAGCTACTTTAATAAAATCAGAATTATAACCGTGAACATAGCTCAAACTATCAAACCCCGCAAAGGAATTATTTTGGTTTTGCATTTCAATTTTGTCCTCCTTTTTCTCAGACTTTGATCCATCCTCTTCTATTTCCCCAGTTTCCTCTGTACGGACAGTTTCTGTAGAGCTTTCCCAAGTATTTAAACCAACAATTTTATCAACGCCATATTCATATTCCATGGCAATGGACTGAATCACCACAGAAATTTTTACCTCTGGTTCCTCATCACCATTGATGAATGTATCTTCAGAGTTAGGTTGTTGCTGACTCCCAGACTGCTGCGGAAATGAAACTGACTCAACTTGCGGACTGTGAGAAGCGGAAATATGCGATGAAACCTGCTGTGAGACCTGCGAATTGAGATAAGTCGCTCTTTGAGCCTTGCGAACTGAGACCTGCGAGCTGGTAGACACTGTGCGCGACTGCGAGTGCGGTGATTTCCGGTTTTCTGTCTTCCGCCTGCGTGTAGGTTGGAATCTCCGAATTGTAGCTTCCTTCAGAACTTCCCAATTCTTTTCCCTAGTTTCAATTTCCCACCATTGGAACCAGTCTAACGACCTTTCCTCCATTGTTTCTTCTGCTACTCTAACCTTATGTTTTTCCGCAATAGCATTGAGTTGGAAGTATAGTTCCATCTTAATTATCCATCCG